TTAATATAAAAATTGTCCATAAATAATTTTAAATAAAGATTTATAAATTATATCATATAATATCTTATTATCTTTTTATCATAACGATTTACTAAATTCCTCAAATTTTCTTAACAAACATTAAGATTTTATCGAATTCTTATCGCCCTCGAAAATCATATACCCATACCTAATTAACATACATTCCATCCAAAATAAATAAATAAAATATGAATTTTACAATTCTTTTAATTCCCTCAATTATTCCGAAAAAAAATCATCAAATAAAAACATATTAATTAATCCTACGATCCTTACAAATCGACTTCCTCCTCTCCATTTTCCAAAACCAATTACCCTTCTCGATCTTATCCTTAATCGTCGCCTTCTTCTTCATCATCAATATCGCCAACAACTCTTCGCCTACGACGAACCACCAATATCATAGAAACGTTTTTACGAAGATTACCTTCCCCCAAAAGGTATCTACTAATATATAACCATTCTCCTTTTCTACTAGTCTATCATATTTAATAAAAACGATTTTCATCCGCTATTACATATATATTTTAAATCGATTTAATTCGTACGTTTCTATAGTTTGAAATATCAAACAAAATACAAAAATATAAATCAAATCAATATATAAATTATAGAAATATTATTAATACAAATATATAACAAAATAAAACAATATATTTATATCCTATAGATATATTTTAATCAATTCTATATAAATTCTAATTAATCAATATTTACAAAAATTACCTAAAATATTAAATATAATATCAAAAAATAAAAGCAAATCAAATCAATTACTTTACTTCAAGTGATCCCCACCATGACATTTCAACAATGTCTTGATGCCATAGTCAGGAGCATGTTGCCATGGTCGTGAGTATTGTATTTATCGATTTTGCTTGTGGGTCCTCGGGTTGTGTGCTATGATTGTGTGTTGTGGTTGTGGTTGTGCGCTGTGTTGTGGTTGTGGTTGTGTTTGTGATTGTGTGTTTGTGGCTGTGTGTTTGTGATTGTGTGTTTGTGGATGTGCTTGTTGTGTTGGCGGTTGTGTTTGTGGTAGTGTGTTTGTGGTTGCGTTGGTGGTTGTGGTTGTGGTTGTGTGTTTGTGGTTGTGTGTTTGTGGTGTGTGTTTGTGGTTGTATGCTTGTGGTTGTGTGTTTGTGGTTGTGTGTTTGTGGTTGTGTGGTTGTGGTTGTGTGCTTGTGGTTGTGTGTTTGTGGTTGTGTGTTTGTGGTTGTGTGTTTGTGGTTGTGTGTTTGTGGTTGTGTGCTTGTGGTTGTGTGCTTGTGGTTGTGTGTTTGTGGTTGTGTGTTTGTGGTTGTGTGTTTGTGGTTATGTGTTTGTGATTGTGTCTTTGTAGTTGTGTTTGTCGTTGTGTGTTTGTGACTGTGCGTTTGTGATTGTGTGTTTCTGATTGTGTTTGTGGTTGTGTGTTTGTGGTTCTGCTTGTAATAATTGTGTGTTGAGGTCCGGCGGGGAACACTGGGCGCGGATGGTCGTGGTTGAGGTCCGCCAGGGAACACTGGGCGCGGATGGTCGTGGTTGAGGTCCGGCGAGGAAGACTGGGCACGGATGTCGTGGTTGAGGTCCGGCAGGGAACACTGGGCGCGGATGGTCGTGGTTGAGGTCCGGCAGGGAACACTGGGCGTGGATGGTCGTGGTTGAGGTCCGGCGGGAGAACACTAGGCGCAGATGGAACACTGGGCGTGGATAGTCGTGGTTGAGGTGCGGCAGGGAACACTGGGCGTGGATGGTCGTGGTTGAGGTCCGGCGAGGAGGAGAAGAAGAAGGAGGAGGAGGAGGAGGAGAAGGAGAAATCAACTAACATAAAATCTAACAACCCTCACCTGGCAGGTGGGGAACAATCAAATCATAATATTAAACACCATATCAATTTTATTCTTTCAATTCCACATTACATATTATATATATTTTCGGCGTTGTTTTAAAATATTGCCATTAGATGGTGTGATTATACTATAATCCCAACAAAATTGAAGCCATCAACAATCTATCGAATCAGGATTGTTAAATCGATGCATTTGTCGCATGCGCTAAAAAGAACTCCCGATTTGCAATGGGTATATAACAACATGCAACAATTCGCAAAAACGTGATGGCTCAGGTGCTGGAAATGGGTCCGCTAACAATTGCCCAGCCATCCTCCTGGCTT